TAGGGCGCAGGGACTTGTCGGAGTACAGCGTTTGGACGATCCTTCTTCCGGTGTGAAGACTTGACTTTCTCATGATGTGGTAGGGGTGTTGTATTCTAGAAACATGTTGATCTCGTTGTACTCAGAAATTGCTCCTTTTCTTGTACCGAACAATATATATATATATATATATCACACACCGTGGCTGGGCCTTCTCGTTTGGTCACCTTGTGCTTTGTGATTGTTCAGGGTTGTTTTGGAGTGGCTCAGCAGTCAATGGAGAGGGTTTTATTCTAGTATTAGCTTTTTAATTCTTGTGTTTTTTTTTCATGTGTTTTATGTTTCTTTTCTCTCTCGATGTGATTGTGTTTCGTGTATTTTTCACTTGTAGGAGCTTTTTTTTTATCTTGTTGGGAGCTTTTGTGGTTGGTTTTAGGCTGTAATTGGTGTAGTCCTCCCAACTAGAGTCAGACGGGTAGCTTATTATTCAACTATTTAGATAATTTCTAGTCTGTAATTATGTGTTTATTTATGAAAGTATTGTTACATTAAAAAAAAAATTGGCTTTTTAGACATTTTTTTAATACAACAGATAAAGTTTAGCCATGTTTTGTATAAGTTACGATTTTTAGCCATTTTGCATTGAAAATGTCTGTTATTCTTAACGAAAGGAATTTTAAGAAAAATTATACCTCTCATTTTTCTTGAAAAATTAAGGTTTAAAAAACTTAGATTATTGTTTTAGGTGGTCCTATTTTTTTTTATTTTTTTTTTTTGTTTATGACTTTGAATATTATTATTTATTTGTTTTCATTTTTGTTCTTCTATTTCGATGTATTTATATTGAATGACATTTTCAATTAAATAATCTATTGTTTCGACTTCTTATCTTTTTATTTCGTATATTTCATGTTGGTATATGTGTCCTAGAGACAATCCTTTTAAGGACATATATAATGATCACATTAATAATTATATTGGATTATAACTATGATATTGCAATTAATTAAATTATTGTTTGAATGTTTGTAATTTATTAATTAATTGTTCCCTTGAGTTGATATTGTCATTAACAGAGTGATATGTTAATTGATAAAGTATAACTCTCAAATCGCCTCAATCGATGATCATTAAGAAAGGGAATTAATGATACGTGATAGATTGACATGTGGTCTGCATCATATACTTAGAAAATATAGTATGTCTCACTGCTATGAATAATTGTTATCCGTGATGGACACATGAATACTTTGGAGAGTATTGGCATACCCTATCGATAAACCATTTGTTTATGTGTCTATGGGAGTTCGGTGTGTGGAATGGTATAACAGTCCTTTGACTTGAGGTCAATACGCAATTCATGTATAAAGTGATTTACTTAGACCTAGTCTAACGCTTACGCCCTTATGGGTAAACACGGACTTGTGTTGGGTAGATCACGGTATACATGGAATTGTAGTTGAGCCAAGATATGATTCATTGATCGAATATGGTTTCGAGAGAACACTCGTTTTCTCTATACTGGGTTGATAAAGTCATTGGTCAATGCACGTGATTATATTTGAAATGTTGTTCAAATATAATTAATTAAAATCAACCACTAAGATGAGATAAAATGATTAAGCTGTTTGGATAGACACACATTCAAGTCCTAAGCTTAATCGAGTGGGTCGTGAATGAAGGGACCGTATCATCATTGAGTTCTACACTAAAAGTTTGTTTGCTTGTCCATGTAAACGTATTCATATTTTGAGTTCGTCCTTCGACGCAGTATATGAGTTTCGTAAGGATCATAAATTAGATTTGTGTTAATATATGAAGGCCTATAGGTCACACAATATGCAATCGGTTTTTCGACTAAGAGTGAATCGAGAGTGTTAAATATTCAAATAGATTGAAATATTTATTTATGGATAATGAGATTATTTCCTATTTGATTGAAAATATTTAATTAAGTTAAATTAGATTTATACTTAATTAAATTATTAATTGGATTAGGTCCAATTACCTATTGGTCGATAGGGTCTCCTAAGGCCCATATGATTTGGTTTGACTTAATTATAAATACCTCATTATCTCTTCATAGTCTTAAATCTATGATCATTAGAAAATAGAAGAAGAGAAAAGATTCATTGTAAAATAAAAACACTCTTTAGCTTTCTGTATCGAGGATTCCTAGCTTCTTCACCAGAAGGTATTCATTCGTGTTAGATCGTGCATCGGAAAACTGGATTGCGTGGATACCATAGTCGAGGACAAACGATGAATAACTGTAAGTTTTCGTGTATCATTTACGCCATCTAGGATCATATCGAATAGCTATAGTCGGATCTTCGTTGTTGGTAAAAAAAATTTAAAATTCCGTTGTGCATACGCTAGGTTCATACGTCGTAAATTTAACAGTGGTATCAGAGCTCTGGGTCGGTGTTCATAGCTATTTGATTGCATCAGATTTTTATGGATCAAAATATGCTAATTATAATTTAGTTTAATCGATAATTACAATTGTTTTAAGATTGATTAAACTAACATTAAGATTTTGGGTTGCTGTTTGATTATGTTCGAACTGCAATTGTTAAAATTCTGGGAATTGGTTTTCGGGAATTGGAATTCCTGTACACACCCTATTTGTTTGAATTTCCATTAAACAAAATTTAGAAAATTACTTGGGAATTAATTTTCATTAAGAATTTTGAATTTGTATTCGTTTTTGTTCTATTAACTGCGTACAAAATCTGGGAATTGTACGCATTAACTTGATGAAAACTTCTTGCTTAATTGACTCGGGTATTTCAAACTTGATCTTAATGACCACTTTAGAATTTCAATATCTAAAAGCATTGGTGATCTTGCTTGCAAACTCCATGATAAAGCAGGCTGAGACGAATAGTTGATCCTTCATTTTACTCTTATGTTTTTTTTTTCGAGTATAATCACATAATTATTCAAATAATGTATTAACTTGTATTCGTACTTTGCTATTCCCAAATCTGGATAATTTCCATTGCTAATGTCAATTTGGCATAATTGTATTGTTGGCTTTATAACATCCCCCTTCTCAGAAAAGGCAGGAATGGTTGCAAATTTTTTCATAAATCCTACTTTTTTTTACCGAGAAGCTTGTTGGAATACTGGTGAATAGCTTGTGTAAACTTAGTCAGAAAATACTGAAAGATATTTGTACTTTTGAAATATATGCAACTGAGTAACTCGGATTAAAACATAATATATGTTTTTATCGGGTCTGCTTTTGGTAGACTGATTGCTTTAGGTCCTGTAAAACGACTTTTAACATATAAATACTTGTTATTTTATCTTTGTCTGAGTATTAAACGAGAAATTATATTCTGCC